AAACTTTAAACTTAATATATTAAATTATCACAATATACTTTTATTAAGAACAGTAAAGTGTGTAATCATCACTTTTTTTATGATTATAACGTAATGTTTCTCTAATTTCATCCATTACAAAGAAATTACAAATAACTCAATTTGCACAGTTTGTATAATGTAATACATGGATTTTATATAAACTAAAAATTATATAAATTATTTTGTGAGAAATTAAAATGATTATTTGTTACACATAATGTATACTTGTATTTATTTTAAACCATCTTCAAATTAATTAAATAGTAATTAAATGTGTTATTTTATTCATATCTCATAACATTCATTTTTTTTTTTTTTTATATTAAAATTATTAATACACTTACATATATACATAATACATATTTTTATTATAAAATTAAATATTTATATAATATATTTTGATTTATTTCATAACTCTATCACATTAAAGATCAGCTAAATATTGACTCATATTTAATAACTAATATATTATTAAAAATGTATTTCCATATTACTCATTACATGAAAATATTTTACAAATATAACATTGGGTAATTTATTAATGTTATTCTAAACATTCAACTAACAACGAGTTACCTGAAGAAGGACCTGGTTATTATATTTTATAAGTGAACTTTATTAAGCTAAAATCCCATACATTTTACCTAATTAAAAAACAAAATGTTGTGAGTTTTAGTCAATGAAGATGTGCAACATGGAAAAAAAATAAGTATACATAATAATGATATTACGATTAAACAAATTATTATAATAAATGTATTAATATAAATGACACATCATAGGCCCATACTTAAGTATTAAATTAATTTGATTTTCCCAACGTAACCCATGGAAATTATTATTCCTCAAAAAACCCCTACAATTGTCAGACGTAAAATATTTTAATTTTAAAACAAAATGATAAATTATCAACATAAAAGAAAATAAAGGTTACTTTTAAAAATACCAAAAGACAAAACTTAAACTCTTAATGTTATTATCTTAAACAAAAAAAATAAATTCAACTATTTTGGGAAGAAAAAAACTTTAAACTCAAAGAAAACTTTTAAAAATTACATTACAAACCTCAAGGAAGTACATCAGAAATTAGATTCAAGGTCAGATATTAGCAACATATAAATTCAATTTAACTCTAAACATTTATTAATAAATAATTATAAATTATAAACTTAAGTATTAATACATTAAAAATAAATAAATAAATGCTTAGCCTGGAGCAAGGCCTTAACTGGAAAAAAATTTTGGGAGGTCTAATATTATTATTTAACACAATTTATAGTTAACTATATTCACCACTAAAATGTTTCTACTTTTGAAAATTACGGTTTATTTATTTATTTATTTATGGCCTTGGCCTGGAGTATTATAATATTTATAAAGTAATGAAAAAATGAAGGAAGGAATACATTGAAAAAAATTGGTCGTTTTACTTAGAAATAATTCATTTTAATAGGACAGATTATTTAAAATTAATTCTTATTAGACATAGATATATTAAGAAATATAAATACTTTGGTTATTATTATTTATTGTTATCTAAAATTTATTGATAAAAGATTTTATTTTTCAAATCGGTTTGTACATTTAAAATATTTTTTTAAATTAGTTTTCTAAACATTCACATAAGCGTGCATAGGAGGTATGCAGGGTATGCAGTAGCATACTCTGAACACATAGTTTTGCTAACCAAAGAAGAAAAATTTGCTAACCGAACTATTATAAAGAGATTCATTTATATTTTTTATACTTATTAATTTAATACATTTATATGTATTAAGTGCAATCAAGATGAATTGGTAGCTGTAATAAATTTGTTAGAACAAAACAAATTGAAGTCAACTGTGATACTAAAATACTTTGGGTTTGGCTTCAATGGTTAAAATAATTTGATTAACATTGTATTCTTTAACTATTTATTATTGTGATAAAAAATTTGCAGTAACGTCAGTTACAAGTTATACATGTAAGCGATTATTTACTAAATTAATAATGTTGAAATCAAAATTAAGTAGTACTATGCTTCAAAAGAGATTAAATAGCTTAATGCTTTTAACTATACTTGTAGAGCAAGAAATGGCTAAAAATGTAAATCTTGATGGCATTATTGATGATTTCAAAAATTCAACTTAAAGTAGAATTGTATTATGATCAATTATAATTATTTATCAAATTTATTTTGTTTTTCATTGAAGTATATGATTCGAGTATATTTTTGTTTATTTACTCTATTAAATATAATACTCAAATCATTTGAAGCATTAAATATTTAATTTGTTTTCTTGTAATTTATTTTAAATTATATTGATGAAAACAGTTATAACAATAAAGAAGTGGCCATTGAGTCACTTTTTTTTAAGAAAAAAGTTTTAATTTTAAATTAAACAATTATTTAGACATTTGTGTGTATATTTTTACCAGCATTTTGAACGCTTAAGCTAACTTCCATTGTGAGGTGGGGCAGTAATTGAGACAACCTTCTGCATACCCTAAAAAAGAGGTCTGTGCACACCTATGAGCATTCATTTATATATTTATTTATTTCTACATATAAATTTTAAGAGTATTAACTGACAATAACTTTTAATTTTTATTTTATTACTTACAAAGATATATTATTTATTATGAGTTTAAATTTTGTAAAATTAACTCTTCTATAAATATATTTATATATTAAATAACATTTTTATCTCACATTAAATAAATTTTGCTGAGAGTGAAATTACAAACCAAAATATTTTTATGTCTGAAGGATATTTTTTACTTTAAAACAAAGTTATTGATGTGATAAATTGAAGAAACCTTGAATCAATAGAATAACTAGATGAATTATCAATAAAATTGCTGGCTAAAAAACTTTAGGGGTTAATTTCCCATTTCCCCTTAAAAGTCAAATTTTACATATATATTAGTTTTTATTTATGTTTACATACATTTTCATATTTTAATAAAGATTTGTGTACAAATATATTTAGTCACACCTATCATCTTAAAAATTTAAATTTTATAAAGAAAACAACTCAAGCCTATTTCGCTTAAAAATTAGCATCTGATCAAAGTAAATATAATTTTCATTTTTTTTCTCCTTTTAGGAAAGGGGTAATGCTATGGATCTTGATTATAAATTATTGTTGAAAAAGTCAAAAATACTGCTCAACATCAACTACCTAGGACCAATAGTTACTTACACATATGAGACTTGATCTTCAACGGAAGATGATAGAAAAGAAAACTGGCGATATTTGAAAAAATGATAATATGCCAGCTATATGTGAAACCAACTATTCTAACATATTTAAGAATAAAGAGAATGGAATGATTTGAATAAATCTGAAAAGCTTAGGAATATATTATTTAAAACATTAACAAATACAGATAACAAAACAGAAGAAATGACAATTGGGTAGACCAAGAACATAGAAGGATGCTGTGGAGAAAGATACATTAGGACAGTAGATGTTCATGCCTCTGTTGAACTAGCATTCAAAAGGGAAAGGCGGAGAGACTTGTTTGTGGCAGCTCAAGTCCTTTAAGGACCGTTAAGGTGAAGAAGAATTTGGGAATAGTAACACATTATTTATATAATGATAAATTAATTATTTTAGGTTTACAATAATCATCTTACTCATAAAAAAATAATAATTAAAATTAACCATACTTTCATGTATATACTTAAAAAATTTAAATTTTCCCTCCATAAATAATATATTCACAAATAAATATCAAAAAAAGGTTTTTTTTACAAATAGTTTGTTACAATTAAAGTAAAATTCTTATGATACTGGTAGAACATTTTTTTCATTTACCTATATAGATAATGAATATACACACATAACAAGTAGGGTAATTATTTAATAAAAAAACGGGACAGGTTAGGTTATGGGCATTTAAAAATGAAAAATTAACTAGCCACTTTTTAGATATGAAATAATTTTAGGAATTTAGTTAATTTATTTTAATCAACAATCAGATTTTATTAATGAGATTTTAATATGTACCTCTGTACCTAGAAATATAACAAAATTAATAAATCAAAAATTAAAATAGTATATTAATCTTTAAGGGAATAAGTTTTGTTGCAATTTATATTTTATTTTTACTTAAAATGTAATTGCCGATTAAAACAATAACATCCAGATTTAGAGTAATATTAATAGCAGGATTAATAGTAAATAAACACATCAAATGATATTTAACAATATTATAATATCAAATTATACAATTGTAATTATTTTAAAAAGTTAATTACCTTATCTTTTATATTTATAATCATAATTTTATGATTTTTTTCATATTAATAGAAATTGATTATGTTGTACATAAGAATATATTTAATTAGTAAATGGCATCATTGAGAGACTTACAAAGCAAATAATGTCAATATTCTAATCAATAAAACCAATAAGAAAAATTATTGATTAATAGCAACATAATATATAATAATTAATATTGCTTTTATATATAATCTAAATAATTATAAGTACCATATGATCTTAAATTAATCTTATATGCTATCATGTGGTCATCCACTTAGCCATCAAGTTAATTTGTGTATAGTGTACCTATGAGTATAAATTTCAACCATAATACAACAAAGACAGATACCTATTTAATTTTTTTTTTTTTTAAATGTTTGTTTAACTCATATTATGTACCTTTAAAAAATGTAATAATTATTCTAATAAAACTAATTATGTAAGTACGTCTATTATATATTTTCAGAATACATACATTTTTATAACCCATTGTGTATATCTCAGGAATTTAGACTTTTTAACTCCATAGAAATAAATGCAAACCAAATCCTTAGAAATTGCCAATAATTTTCAAAACATTAAATACAATTGCCAAATGATTAAAAATTAATAAAATCTTAATACTCAAAATCAGATAGGTATATCACTGAGTAAAAATTAACATTAATAGCAGGCTAGTCTAATAAAACTTAGGCATTAATTTAAAATAATAAAAGAAAAAATTACCTGGATGAAGTATCACTGAAGTTTCCCCCATCAAGAAGACGGACTTTAGCAAACAGTACAGCATTGACAAATGGTACAGCTGTTAAATCTTCCAAGCAAAGATTGACGGTGAACTTGTATCGTTTTTTCTTCACCATAAACGACATTTTGACACCTGTACAAGAATGGTGATGTGAGTTCGATCCTGCATACAGAATTTCAGGAAGATAATTTGTTATCCAGATCAATAAAATGATAATATTAAAAATTGTGCATAGGAATAAACATTAATCGAGTAATTCGCAAATATTAAATGAATATGTGCACACAGCAAATATATTATTGTTACAAGAGTAAGGATGAAGAAACTCAACATGAACGTTATTGACAACTAGTTGTATAAGACTATAACATAGGTAGTATATACCTATAAAGCAGTGTTTGTGGATCTTCTAGTCGAGTGGTGTTAGGATCATTTTTTGGACATTATTAGAGATGATTAGTGATGTAAAAGCAAGTCTTAAGCGCGCGCACGTCAAACTCACAATTACACACACACACACACACACACACACACATACGCTTATACCGTTTACGACTTTCGATTACTGTTACGGTGCACAGTGCGAATTAGTAGAAAAATCGAAAAAATTACTTTACTAGTGAGCACTTGCTTGAGAAAAACCTACACGACGACAGCGTTCTCGGAGTGTAAAAACCGAAATGATTGCAAAACGTCCAACGGGAATTGAACGTTTAACAACAAACCAGCGACTATGACACATACATATTATATATTATATAAATATATATACGCACACATGTACAATCGGGTACATATGTGCATACATATACATATAATATATTTATGAATATATATATATGTACAAAATTGTTGTGGAGGTGCTGGCAGGAAAGTCGACGTCGCCGTCGAAGCAAAACAACAACACTTGAACACGATATCGGACGGACGGTAGCGACAGTGACTGATCCGTCGTCGCCGCCGTTCCGCGATCATCTGTTTTTCGAGTCGCACGCTACCGCTATCTACCCGACATAAAAAATCTAATTCAACGTCGTTGTTTTCATATTTCGCGGATTGAATTCGAGGCTTAGACCCGACTGGACTGTACAGGTATACACGAACCAGTGGCATATACAGAAAATATTTTCGGGAGGGGCTACTATAAACAGAGTTAAATTACCACTACTATCTAAGAATTACAAACAAGACACAGTAGGTACTTATCTACATTTAATTTACAAAATGTCCCAAAACGATTTAATGTTGGACGCAAATTCTAATAAGTATAAAGCACCATTAAAATACAACAAACGTTTAAAATAATTTTTAAGTTTTTTGAAACATTTCGAGGATGGCTGTAACCCACTAGACCCCTCTCCCTATATACGCCACTGACACGAACATACATGTTTGTTCGTCAAATGCGCGTGTGCGTATCTATGTAAATTTGTTTTTGAATAAAAATTATTTTCATGGGTCATGAATTATGTATATTCCTTAATTGTATACATTTAAAAACATAAATCAGTATTTAAACGTATTACCGTACCACATCTCAATACGATTCCCCCGGGTAATCCGTTTCAACGTAGTCATGCTGAACCCTTAATTGAACCTGGTTTTTGTGTTGGTTCTGTTTCATTCAAAAATATTTGGATTATTTCGCTCATGTTGAATTTGTGTTTTGTTTCTTGGGCACTAGTTAATGTATGACATTGGAAACCGAAATTGGTAGATACCGCGATAAAAAACCTTTGTGAACCTTGGTGAAGGCGTGCTAATGACGAGAGGATCGCGACAGCAACGTGAACTAGTTTTTCGGAGCAGTTATCATGGCTGAAATTAACAATAGTTTCATTATCATCCTGTGTTTGTTATTACTAAATATAATATCAAATCTATAAATATGATAAACAATTTAAACTCTGACGTTATAAATATTTACAGTGAATTAGAATATTCGTTATTTTTCAATTTACCTTTTGTTTTTGCAGTTTCAACAGATAAGTGGGCGGGGGAAATTGACCTCTCGGATATAAGGGGGACAAAACTATAATTTTGAAAATAATGAAAAATAGTTAATGTGCCACTGGTCTTGATATTCTCTCAAATGTATACAGTACAATAAATTCTATGCATTTTGAGCCCTCAATTTTTCTAAGCTGGGGCCCCTTGACAGTGCTAATCACCCCCAGTCCCACTTCTAGTTGCAGTACAGTTTGGATGCTGGAATAATTATAATTCTTTTTGAACACAATTTTTTTATTGCATTATAAGCCCAGAACATTAAGTTTAGTGGCGTGTATAGAAAAAAACCAGTTATATAATATAATAATATTATTATATATACTATATTATAATATAGGTAATATAATAATATAGTAATATAGAAATAATATTTACCTATTTCATATTCTATATTAGTGATAACAAACACAGGATGGTAATGAATATCAATCATTTTAGCTATGATAACTGCTCCGAAAAACTAGCTCACGTTGCTGTCGCGATCCTCTCGTCGGTAATGACCGTTGACCGTTGGATGTAAAGATGTAATCATACCTATTATGTCCTACACGCATTGCTCGAATAGAAGGGGTACGCAGGGGAACAGAGTTTCCTACTGTTTATTTTTATTTTTTTTGCGTACTCCAACTAAATTTTTTTACTGGAACGGAGGGTGCCATAAAATAATGTTCGAAGCAATTTTTATTAAAAAATAAAGTTAAATCGATATTATTTTTTTGCTTTTTTATTATCTTTTATTCTTTGTTTTGGTTGTTTTTATCATATTGTATGATTTTTTTTCTTATAGTTTTTCTTATATAATACTACAATAGCCATTATATGTATAAGATACTGTAAATACGTACAGTTGAAATGTAGTATTTAAAATTCAAGTAAGGTGATGGTGACTGCAATGTCAGACTGGCTCGATTAGGCCTACCATGCATTTTATTTTAAAAGTCCTTAATCTTAAACATTTTTAATATGTAGAGAAGGCATCGATTGAGGTCTAACTTGCAATTTCGTGTCTACACCATAGGCCAGTATCTATTGCTTTGTAGGAGAGGGGTTTGTTTCCCATGGATCTTTTGCTCTTGGAACGCAGTTTTAAATTCGTTGTTTGAACTCTCCTACTTTACAAATTTGAGCATTGACTACAGATGTATACAGGCCCGTATTAAGGGGGGCACGGGTAGGCACATGCCCGGGGGCGTTAACATAACATAAGATTAATTTAGAAAACCAACACTGATAATAAATTAAATTAAAGCGTTAATGATACTGCGTGAACGGGAATTAAAGAGAAGGATAACTGGACGGTGGTAAATCAGGGCTGTAAAAAGTGAGAAGACGTCTACTAGAAAGTAAAGGAGGACAATTAAATAAGAAGTAATCTAGATAACAAGTAGTTTTTCATAATGAAGGGTACCTACTATTATAACTCATCTATGCAAACCTAACACTTCTCCGTTTTTAACTAAATCGGCACACATGTCGAATACATTATTGTACGACGGGGTGGGGTCAGATACAGCTCACGACGTCAACGGTCAATTATGATGCGTAGAACAAAGTGGACACATTACCACACTAGCGTGAGTACCTTGAAATCCGAACAATATCAAGTATATCATGTGTGTCATCACCAGTAATTTAGACCAAAATGCTTCAACGCTGTGGTTCAATAATCAGGTTAGTTTAGTATACATTTAATTTACAGTATTTATATTTTACATAATAAGCAACACTGTTTTACCCATTTCATAATTATATATTTTATGATATTGAAGAACCATTGAAATCTCGAAACAGAGCTATAAATATTAATCGGGGAACTTTAGAATATCTAGTACCAGAGATGGTCTAGAGATAGTCAGCTATATCCAGGGCTTAAAGTGGCAAAAAAAGACTCTAATATGTATATCAATCTCAACATTCTATATATTCTAGGGTTGCCATCCGTCCCGATATATCGAAATTGACACTGTTATTGAACTCTACGACCCGACGTCTAGACAAAAGACTAAAATGTCCCGATTGAAATTATTTATTGCAAATTTCACAAATTTTGCTTTATTACTTATGAATATCCGATAAAAAATAAAAATATGTTTTTAAAATTCTATGACTAAACGGATGTGTAAGAGTGTTTTCGATAATGACGACCCAGTACACTGGTAATGAAATCGCCTGCTTCCAGAAACTATGGATTCAAGTTAATTTTAACATGACTTGCGCAGGATTATACAAATATGTTAAAGGGAACAAAGAGCTGTTGAAAAAAACAAAATCTTCTGAAAAGTTTGACTATTCTAGTACTCTATAATAAATTCAAAAATTTTTTTTTTAGTTTAACCTAAATAAATAAACAAATAGTTTATCTAAAAAAAAAGAATTATAATTTTTATTACAAAATCAAGTATTTTTATACACTCCATCCTAGAATTAGTAGAACGTCCTGATGAGACCCTAGCTAAATATGATAATCCTAATATAGTTCCATACAATTATTAGGTTATTCATTATAAATATATATATATATATATTATAAAGTGTTGTTAGTGAAAAATTTCCTTCACAAACTATTCATGTCAAGGCCGTAACTTGAAAAAAATTTCGGGAGGGGTGGTCTAAAATTATTATTTAATACAATTTATTGTTAATAAACTATATTTATCGCTAAAATGTTTCTACTTTTAAAAATTTCGGTGGGGTCCGGACCCCTGGACCCCCCCCCAGTTACGGCCTTGATTCATATGCTGTAAAAATGTACAAACTTGTCAATTACTTATTTATTGTTTTAATAACTGATTTTAAATATATTTTAATAAATCCTTTAAGTCATTCCTATCTAACAACATTATGATGTTCCTTATCATAAAAATGAGAAAAACTAAATCAGGGTACGGGTAACCCGTTAACCGTAACCCGAGAAAATAGAAAACCCTGTTTTAACCCGTTGACCAACACCCGTGAAAAGTCAATTTACTTTGACTCCCTAAAAAAAAGGACGAATTTCAATTTTTTGTCAAATATTTTACCAATATTTTTAACCCCTTTCCACCAACATCTGCATATTAATCATACAAATTGCCATATTCACTCATCAGTTTTTATTTTCAATAAAATGAATGAAAACATTACTGCGTATAATCAATAATTATTTCATTTTATCTCTATAAAATACTATAGTATACCTATAAACTTCTATAGAATACTTCTCAATCTATCATACTTGTGTAAAAAAATTTTATACTAAAAATAAACATGTAATTAAAAATATGAATATTTGTCCATTGGGTGAAACTGGGGAATTCAATTATTAATAACTATTAAGAAAAGGTAAAATTTAGAATTGAATTCAATAATAAATAACACAGATAATTATTTTTCTTGCATATTTATAATGATCACAAATCAAATATTTATGATAGACAGAATTTATGTTTATTTACTATCTAATTAGTTATCTAATTACTATTCTGTAAATGATATACAAATATTAATTGTACATTTGATAGTTCACAATTAACTCAGATACTTATGTGATTATTTTATAATTAGTAATTATTAATTATTTGTGTACTTCTTCTTTTATAGTTTCAGCTATTAATACCACACTGCTAATCACAAATCTTGCCATTTGGCCTTGTATTCTGCTGCTTCTCACTTTCTAATTTCTGTTTCTATCTCTTAAATATCTTTCATTACTCAGTCTTCCTACCTAAGCTTAGGTCTACCTTAGATTCCCATGTGTTCTTCTTCAATCACTCCCTTATCTACAAATCCCTGTTTGAGCTATGTATAGTCTGCCCACATTAATCTTCTCTTGGC